CGAGAACTTCTACAGGTACAGTACTCTATATATATACATATATATATATATATGTTTATATATATGTGTGTATATGAATATGTGCGTGTGTCTTCGTATAATTAGAAATGAGATTTGGTGTGAATTTCATTAAATCTGGACAATTATGTTAAGTAAAATGTGCTCCATAGCCCTGTTTTACAGTACATTAACATAGAGGACAAATGTTGCACTTAACCAATTAATATATGTAGCTGCTTAATACTGATTGATTTAAATTGGTGGACCTTATAGTTGGATCTATAAATGTAATAATTATATCTGCATAAACTGTAAAATATGTTGTATTACTCTATGGCTCACCTCTTTGTCCTTCCTAACTTTATAGCAGAACTTGATGTAATTTGCTTGATCAGTTTCTTTGCTTATCAAATTTCAATAGTACATCTGTAGACCCTATTGAAGTATTCTTTATACAGTGCAGATCTTCAGTATTCAACAATGCAGACATGTTAAGAGCCAGACACAGAACACAGACTTGGTATCTTGCACTCCAACAACTGCAGACTAATCAGCAGAGACTGAATCAAAATTGATGAGGCAGTAATCATAATTACTGTAATAATTCTTAGTCTGTTCCACTTGTTAATCCATCAGTAGTGCCAGCCAAGGACTTTTATCTAATTAACTGCGGCCAAAAATATATTTGTAAACAGTTGAGCCACTAAAACTGGAAGTTAAGTCCCACATACTCGATACATGAGCTGAACCCAAGTAAGCGCCAAAACACAATAGCAAATTTAAGTTGAAAACTCAAGTTTGTAAAGCTCCAGTCACTAAACAAAAATGTTTATGTTTAATTGTGGCAAATGAAAAGGACAGAAAGTACCACAGAACCAGTTTGGGAGACAAAGTGGAGGATTCCTTGTGCCTTTTTGGCCAAGTATTATCAGTTTCACAAGTCAGGTAAAAAGTCATGAAAATAGACTCTTAGCAAGTCATATGTTTGAGTTCTGGCTTAGTGCACAACAACAATGTGTTTATTCAAAGGCTAATCTAAAACCACAGCCTTGTTAATTCACCTGGCACTTGATCTTTCTTGCTTCCAACAGACATTTAAAATGAGCAGCTTGTCTTTAGTTGCTATAGTCACCACCTATGCTGTTGCCTAGCAGCTCACCTAAAAGTGAACCAGGTGAAAGGGTTTGCAGGTGGCCTATATAGTCAAACTTTCAGAGAGTACATTGCGAAATAAATTGCTATCAGCACAGTAAAACTCCCAAATTCCACTGCTTTGCTCAGAGGTTATGGGGGATATTGTAACTGCAGCTCAATTGCAGCTTATTTTGTAAATATTTGATCTCTAATACTCTGTGTGGATCACTGTGGTTTCGGCTCTGTGCCTAACCACATGGACTGAAGTCAAGAGTAAAACATTCGCAACATTGTTGAGTACATAAGAACCTGTGGGCGCAAAACTGGCTGCCACAGAGCATCTTAGCACTTATGCAGGAGACGACCAATGTAACCAGGAAGAGGAAGGCAATAGACTGTACACCTGTCAATCTGCCATTGTAAGTCACTCTTTCTCTGGATAGAGGCCAGTCACAATAAGGCACAGCATGAGGGTGTGTGGGTGATAAAACAGGCCAAACAGCTGAGTTGAGATTTTAGGCTTGACAGATTAAAGAAACAGAATGACGCAAGTTCATAAATAAGTCATTTTTATTTTGCTTTCTTTTTAAAGACTATATACTTATCAACTATTCATAACAACAAATGGAATTGTTAAATACTGTACACAGCATACTGTACTCTCCCAGTGCATGTCTTCACCACAGCAGAGAAGTTATTTCTTGATAAACCAGTCTTCATTCAGTTTTATTATTTCTAATAAGACATATGAATACCTTAAGATTAAATAGTATCAGTGTATGATGTAAACATTTTTTCAGACATTTAAGTCAACATTGTGTTGGCAAGGTTTTGTGAGCAGAAGGGAGAGAAAAAGTATATTTCAATGACCGTTTGACCTTAGCAGTTATCTGTTTCCCAAACTGAACACCGTGTTCAATACCAAGGGTTACTTCAATACATGTGCTACATTTACTATATCATTTCAATGCTTTATGAATAATCTACAACAATAAAATTCATATATTTTCCAGGCTGCCAGCAGCCAAAGTCTCTCAGACCACACCCACTGCAATCATGTAAGGCAGGAATGCATGAGCAGAACAGGAAAGTCTGTGTCAGGTAGGTAAACCCTGCACTGTCTTTGTAATGCGTCTGTATTAACAGGTTAGCCTAACATCTCTGTATCTAAGATCTGCGTGATCTATAATCTCTATTTAAGGATATACGGTTAGAATTGACTTTGTGTTACTCTGAACTGAAGGGTAACTGAATTAAAAATTTGAAACTGGTTACCTCATCTTTTTTTGATTATAATTTCCAATTTTGCCTTTATTAATGGGGAGTATGTGAAATATAGGATTAATATCAAAGGGAGGTAGTCCTTAAGGCAAATTAGTTCCAAGCAATAACTCACAGCTTGACCAAAAATAAGCTTCTCCAACTGTTTGATGGAATTTCAGCAAGAATATCATACATTCACTTAATGTTCAACAGGCCAATTTCCGTGCAACAAAACAGACCTGGACACTGAAAGAAAGCAATCGATGTGTACATTTTTTAGAGGGCTGTACTCAAAAGCAGGCACTGCAAATAAGCAGAGCACAGTAACAAGTATGGTTGACAATTTCCTACAAATTGTAGAAAGTAATTTTATCACCAGAACACTTTTCCAACTGCTGTTCACATGCACGTATGCACAAACACGTCCACGCACATACATACATACACACACACACACACTAATCAACAGACAACTACACCATAAAAGCTGCGCTAGACATTCCAATGGAAACATGCATAGCTACCAGTAATGTACCCACCTCTTAGTACATAATGTACCATAACAACGTGCCATGTGGGAAACACAAATTTACACAGATAGGTGGCCTGAGTAAGACTCAAACTTCATCACGGCAGGGAAACCATATCAGTGTTGATATACAATAGCAAACAGAATGGAGATTTGTGTGCTAGCATCCTTCATTTTTGTTAAAAAAATTAATTGGCCTTGTATTTAGACTTCATATATTAAGTGATACATGGTTACATTACTGACCCTTTGTCCCTTGTGAGATACAAAAGCAGCATCAACGTATCTCACAGAACCTCCTCAACCTTCCACACACAGAAAACACTGAGCACATGAGGTTCAAGGCCCGCTTGTACCTTCTGACTGTACCACGTCGTCAGCAAAAACAGAACAATATTGAATGTCATGAAATAAAAATTATATAAAAAATAAGCTCTACAATGTTGAATTTTGCCCACAATCTATAGTCAGAGATACAGTTTTTACGTAAAGTATCTCGGTTGTGATAGCTATGCCAACATTACCAGTAACTGAATACAGTGCGCTCATACCCTGTGTGTTTGGAATACATGAGGGGTTTTTTTTAAGTAAAAGCAGCAGTTTGAGGGTTGTTAGCGTCCAGTTTCACCATTTTTTCAAGTGGTTTTTGCTCATTTACAGTAGAGTCCTTTGCTACTTCCACTAAACCTTTTCAAACTAAATCCACATGTGCTTTCCTCCTGGTGTGGCAGTCCCAGTCTGAGTCTGATACATCTGTATTGCGAGCTGCAGAGCGAAGAAATTTCTCTACACAAGGTGAGTCCACGAAAGCAGGCCGCTGAGGCAGGAGATAGTAATGTGTGCCGCTGGCCTTCTTGCCCTTCTCCATAACAGGAAGGATACAGGGGGAGCCTTCACTGTTCTGTCTCTGTAAACGACAGCTTACATACTTAGGATCTGGTGCAAAGCTTTGGGTTGGGGGCATCACTCCGTTAATGTATGTTGGGAGGCTCTTGGGGCTGGGGGTGCGGGAGCTGCCTCTGGACAAAGGTTCCCTTGGGGGTACCTTGGGTGGTTTATCCTCATCGCTGTAAGCCCCTGACGAGACCTCTGCTGACCAGCGGCGGTAGTCTCCTGTCTTGATTGTTCGTGGAGGGATAGGGGGTGGCACTTCAGGCTTATCCATACTGTTGGTGTGACGTTTGTGGCACGTGAGGCGCAACAATGAGGGCTTGTTAAAGGATCCAGCTGGGCCAGAGTGTGAGCGCCGCAGCCTCCTCTGAGCTTTGTCCTGCTGTCTCTGACAGACCACTTGCTCAGGTGGTTCCTGTCGTGGTTGCTCATACTCTTCCCGCACTTCCTGTGACAGATGTGCCTGATGCTGCTGTTGGGACTGCCTTGGGCTTTGTGGTCCTAATGGACCATCATAGTAAGCATAGTTAATTTGCCCACAGTCCCTGAAGCTCCTTCGACTGGGCACTCCATATCGAAAGGGAGACGATTTAGGATCAGACACCAGGGCACAGCTGTCGTCCGAACTCGTGAAAAATTCTACCTCATTGTCCATAGCCTGTTCAGTGGAGATGTCTGTTTGTGGAGGGATGGGGGGCAGAGGCTTGGAGCATCTCCCTGGTGTCTGTGGTGGACTGCTGCACTCGTACACTGAGAGCCTCTTGAATGAGGGGACTACCTGGTCATCATCAGCAGGACTTGGGGTGGACGGTTCAGCGCTGCAAGACAGTGAGAGATGGGAGGGCCGGGATTTCTTTGGGGGCAATCTCTGTGAGCTGGGACTGTGTTTATGTCCTGTCAGAGAGGAAAAAAAAAACAGTCACATTAATGGCACAATACTGAATGATTATGGATGGTTAACAACAATCACAATATACAACTTCAACTTCATTGTATCCTGTAAAAAAGGACTCCTATGGTGTACTAGTATTCTCTATATTTCTGGAAAATCACTTACTATATCCAGTATCTAGCAGATGATTCACAGACACAAGACATGCAATGCTGCATTTTTGTATTTCAGATAACAGATCACTCACTTACTTTCATAAATTAGAGACGGTGGAGGTGGCCCCTTTTTCTGGGCACGAGGACTGTGATCTGTGTGTGCAGTGTCCATACTGAAGTAGATGCTGTTAAAAAAGGAAAAATAAGTAGTACCAGGTTAAATAAGACACATTTCATTGTAACTTACAAGAAATCTCAGACTGACCTGAATCATTAAAACTTCAGCATGTCATGCAGAATTGAAAAACCATCCCTTTCCAAAATTTCTTTCCCTCATGCACTTCTAGTCGTGGCACCTTAACACTCACTTGTTCAGCTCATTGTGATAGCTCCAAGAGGGTTTGGATCCAGCCATGCTGTGACAGTAGCTGCCCCTCAGGAAGGGGTTTTCTATGGGAAAAGAGATCTCCTGGGCAGTCAGGCCCACTGTGGACATGCTCCAGGCACACTCGGGTCGCATCAAAGCCAGGAAACACTCAGATCGCCCGGCTGGCTGCCCCTGCTTCTGGTGTACCTGCAACACAGCCAAGACACAGTCATGAATGACAGTGAAAAGAGGTTGAAAGTAAAAGCAGATGAAGAGAAACAGAATATGTGGTAGCACATTGAAAAATACTCTCAGAAAGCAGAGCCAACATCCTCTAGGGAAGCCAAGAAAGAAAGAAAATCCTCATATTAGAATAGAGAGCAAATTAAACAAATCTCCGTTTCTGCTGACCACCCAGCCAAATATTTAGTTATGATGATTCTTTTTCCCTCTAAAAAGACGAGACAACAACCTTATGTGACAGAAAAATGACAAAAGCTAAATTTGACAAGATTTTAGGACACTTGTGTCCCAACACACCATGATCACAGAGCTCTATGTCATTTTAATGGTCTGGTCTTGTTGTAAAAAGTTGCTTTAGCAGTACATTGATAAACAAATACAATACAATTGTTAACTTTCAACCTATATTGGTGTTTCCATACTTACTTAATGATCTTTACATTTCACCCTTAGCCAGAGTCTATATAAGCCTCAGTTCAACATAGGGACATTTTCATCTTAGGCCTGACCTCATTAACCAACTTTCAGACTTCTGTCTCTACAGACTGTGCCTCCACTCTTAATAAGTTTAGCTTATTTTAAAACTTGACTGTGACTGGGCTTGTCCTGAACAGCAGAGGAAGGGGCTCCTCCTGTTACCAGACCTGATGTTGCAAGAACTCCTCAAGTCAAATGACCTGAATGCGTTGTGTCATGTCAAGTATGTGTCAGGGCTCAGTAAACAATGTATACAATATTCAGAGGGAAAAAAACCCTGCAACATATTGATATTGCGGGGGTCACCAAAACACAGGTAGCAAAATCAGATTTATTTTTTTACCCCTCACACTGGATTAACCTGTTCAGTATGTCACGATCTCAGGTGAAATGAGTTATATATATTATGAGAGTATATATATATATAGTATGTAGTCATGGGTAACTATAGGTGTCTTTGTTGTGCACCATGTCTGAGCTCACAATGACACCAGCCGTGCATTGTTGCAGCAAATCTCCTAATGACTTCAGTGTCCTATCAAAAGTCTTAACCATTAATCCTACTTTTCAGAATGCAGGAAAACAGGTGCATCCATAGTCCTGGTAGTGAACTCTTCTGACTACTGCAAATGTGGTGCCTGCACACCCAGAGACACGCTGTCCTCCTTATAATGTAGGAGTGATGACTGAGACGCACACGGCCCCCTCGTTCCAGGTCTCCTGTGAGCCATATTTATGTGCTGCCCTGACAGCTGGTGAGAAACAAAGCTCTAAAACAACAGGAAGCCTGGGGCATCAGCCTCAGCCAAACTGCCCAACAAGGCATGCAATCCCCCTGCCCAGGGCCGTCGATTCGGTTCGGCGGGGATGGGAAGCAACATGATCCTAGATAATGAACCCCCAGGGGCTTGTGCTTCCTCTTGCAACAGGTGCAAAGACAGTTCATCCTGGCAGTTAACCATAGGAGCATTTACAGGCAAAAGGATTAAACAAATGATGTGTAGTCATGCAGAGCATTAACCTGCTTAAAGAGGAATTCTTTAAGTCACTTCATTTGGATACTTTGACCAGAGAATGTCAGTCTTTTATGGTCAAGTCTGTCTGTACAATAGGTAGACAGACTCAATGTGAGTGTGAAGATAACACAGGCCCCATGGGTGCTGGAAAAGAGGAGGTCTGATGGGGTTAGCAGTGATGTAAAACATCAGCAGATAGCTTGCCTTTGATTTAGGACTGTAGTAGTCACACACAGTTCACACCCCGCTCATGACACCCCTGCAGCGGTTTCCGAGCAACCATACCCGCTCTACCTGTGCGGCAAGCAAACAGCGCGCACACCCCCTCACTTTACCGGATTGAGATAATAATGGTTAAAAGCCCTCTAGCAGGCAGGTGACTCACACCACAACACACAAGTCAGCTATCTGGCAAGGCCAGGTAGTGATGATACAGAATGATTCCCTTTTGTTAAAGATGAAAAGATACAAATAGATATTGTAGACTAATTTAAACCAGGTTATATGTTTGCAATCATCTTAAAGTTATGCCAGGGATAAAAAAAAACAACAACATCCAATTGTATATTTACCATAGAAGATTTAGACTTAGTATAAGTTGACAAATGCGTTCCCAATTTCTGATTTATTTTTGTCTGAACTTTTAAAAATCCAGCTAAAACACAAGTTGCTTCTCTTAATGACTATCTCTATCAGTCAGCAAATAACAATAAAACAACAACAACAAGATATATTAGGCACAAAAATAATCGCAATAATACTGGAAGTTGCATCAATTAGTGGTGTCTTTCGTGCTGGCACCAAGATACAAAACAATAGACAGGCGAGACATGGGTTCTTACAGTAGCACACACAAGACATTTTCAAATCACTTTCTGAACTCACCTAAATAACTTCGCTGCTCTCCTCCGCTGACTGATCTCCTAGACTCCTCTTTGGACAAATATAGCTCCTCGGTTTTCTTTTGTGTGTGTGTTGGGAGGTGGAGGAGGAGGAGGAGGGGGGTTTAATTTGAGTCTGTAATCTTCAAACTTCTATTGCATCAGGAACAGGACGCCAGCGCAATGGTGACGCTCCGGCTATAATGTGACACTTTCAGTTAAATCCTGTGTAGTGAACAATGTTCTTATAAGCTCCACCACGAGAGACGCTCTGGCTCCGCCTTGCAAGCTCGCCCTTAAAGGCACAGCATTCATTTTTTTTACCAGTCTCTCCCACTCTCTCTCTCTCTCCCTTTCCTCTCTATCGTTCCACCTCTCTCCTTCCTCCTTCTCTCTCTCTCTCCCTCTCTCTCTGCAATGTACGTGCAGCAGGACAGGCTGAGCGTTGTATGGATTGCACCCTTGAACATACACACATACACACACACGCACAGACGGCTAATTTAAGCGTAAGTGAACTTAATGTGATCAAAGTCTGCAGCGCTTCATTTGTCTCTGCTTCTACGCTCAGAGGACGGAGCAGGTGTGAACACAAGGATACAAGTCAGCTGATAAACTGTTCCAATGGGGATGGGGGGGACAAGCAGTGTACAGTAAACACCTCGGCTATTAAGATATGCAGCTGCTCTGTGAATGAATTAAAACACAGCTCAAGGAGATTACATACAGTGCAGTGACTGTGTGCTGTTGTTTGCATCAGTTCAAGTACTAATTATAAAGTGAAACATCATCCTATATGTTTGACCTATATTATACTATGTGTCCCCTGTGTGCTTTCATGAACAAGCCGCAGTCCAAAGTAAATTGCACAGGTCTGCAGGGAGACAGAGGGGCTCCAGGGTAGATAACACAGACAGCAGGCAAAGAAACACTCTTATCTGCACAGTTTTCTGCTGCCAACTGAATGGAGCCCAGATTGTTTAGCTGCTACCTTATCAGATCACCCCGGGCATTTTCTTTTAGTTGGACCTGTTCTTGTTTACCTGGCATAATGTTCCCTTGAACACAGTTTAATTAGAATAACCTATGGTACAGACTAAATATTCATAGATATTGTTTCAGTTCAAGGTAATAAATGAATCATTTTAAATGTGCAATCCCTCACATCCTCCATTTCAAGTCCCTTACGCCTACTTCGACCTTAAGTGGTGTCACCTAACCGACCCGAGCTAAACAAACCCAACACTGACATGCACACTAACCAAACACGCCAATACAATGGCTACAAACAACTCGTGCATTGAATCAATAGTGGCAGAAAGCAGAGGTGTGTGTGGAGAGAGAACAGAGTGTTCTTGTCCCTGAATTCGTAAATCCTTTACAGCTTGGGCACAGGGTCCCCCAGAACCCAAAAGGCTTAGCCTATGATTATATATTTGCCCCCCTACATAAACCAGGCTCTTGCTAATCCCCCTTTATAATTCCAGGCACATTTTTGAGATTCCACGAGGCCAGTTGTGACCAGCAGAGAAAGGGGTGAACATTTTGCTCGGTAAAATTTACAGTTTATGTTAATGATATGAGCATCACAGTTTAGATTAAAAATGGTTTACAAGTGTGATTTGACAGGAAATACTCGCCTATAATGATAAAAAAGTGAGGGACTTGAAATGTAATCAAATCCAGTTCAGTACAATATGTGTGTTCCTGCTTTACATCACTGAATCTGTTATTAAAACTCCATGTTCCACCAAACAGACACATTCAGTGGGATAAATAGGCTTCACATCCAAACTGTCTCTCCTCCCTCTTCAGCCCCCCCTCCCTTCTAGTGAGCCACATTGTGATGTCATCACTCACAGGAAGTTCCTTATAAAGTTAGTCCGGGAGGAAAGAAAAAAAAGTTAGTCAGGCAGGGAGATAAGAACAGATGAGAGTTTGAGATGGCAGATGAAGAAACTATCCTTCTCAGGAAAAATTAGGTGGCCTTTTCTTTGGGTATGCTTTATGACTCACACTGAGCTTTATCCACCACATCCAGCAGAGGATCCCCCCACACACACACACAGAAAAAAACATGACACCTTCGGCTCATTTTCATTTTAGCTGCTCTTGGAGCGGAGAGGAATTTCCCTTTGTGGCTCATACTTCAACACAATGGTACACTTGAAGTGACGTTTCAGTCTCTCAGCTTATTACTATGAATCCCTCACCAACAGGAAGGGTGGCGTTTAGTTGGAAACGACACAAAAAAAAAACCTGTATCATCAGTGTAAATGATTTATTCACTATGGAGGTCACAGCATAGTTGCCTCTTCCTGCTTAGGTAATTAAATTACGGCATATTTAGCCTGTGTCCAAAGTTCACACTGATATAAACAGAGCAGCAATAGGTTCAGGTGACGTCAAGCCTGATTTCAGAGATTAGGTGTAAACTTGTGTTTTTGCTCTGTTTGCATTTTTTTTAAACCAAGTTTTGCTGGGTCTTCGTATGTACAATAGCAAAGTGGTTGCAGGCATTTTGAGGTCAGTAAAGTTACCCTTTAGATACAAGAACTGTGGCCTCTGCTGACACCTTTAAAACACAGCTTAAACAGTCAGTTCACCCACGTAACAACAATAAATACTTTTTTTCGTCACCCACTTAGACATGCAGTTTTTTAGTTTATTTTATCTGCATTGATCTTGAGGTAAAGTATCTGTGTCTTTAATTTCTGCTGCCACCCCAATACAATGGAGATTCATGTAGGTTTGTTTGTGGTGGTCAAAGATTTAAAAAAAAAAACAGTTAATCAGTTTTCCTGCTGGACACAAGATGTCTGATGAAGATGAAACATATCTCTGAGTGGAGTATAACTTTAAATATAATATGGATACATAATAATATTATGTAATAACTTTTTATTACGTTGCAGGTTTTTCCAGAGCATCTAGCCATATCCTATTTACATCATCAGCAGATGGAGCTCAGTTGTCATGGAGCCACTTTAGTTGGTCATAACAGGTGGTCGGATATGGGGTTCATAACCACTCTCTTCTGTTTAAGGAGTCTCTGACGTTTTCTGTCAAGCATCCACTGATACAGGCCGTAAGATTTCAGCTTCCAGAAAAACCAACCAAGTGGGCTTTGTAATTAGAATTGGAGCTTCAAGCTCAATGTTGCTGTTTTTATTTTGTTTTAACTCTCTATGTCTGTATTATAAATATATGAAGCTACCCCTAGCAGCCAGTTTGGTTAGATTAGCACAAATACGGGAGGCAGGTAAAAACTGTGCAGTGTAACAGGGCCTCATGTGCTGGGCGCAGTGATAGTTAGGGTAAGTCAGGCACATAACTCCAATAACACCATAATATATTGTTTTTGCAGGGATTAAACAAACAAGATATGGTATGTTAATCATTGTTGAGATGTTGGTTGGTTGATTTTGTTACCTTCCTACCAGACTAGCTAGTCCCCTCCGTTTTCACTCTTTATGCTAAGCTAAGCCAACTGACTAATACATAATACATACAATACAGCTTCATATTTACTGTAAAAACATGAGCATGGTATTGAGCTTCTCATCTAACTCATAACACATCTAAAAGCATATTTTAAAAAACATCAAACCATTCGTTTAAAAGCACATTTTCAAAATGTTTTGAAACAAAATCATGTAAATTTCCATTGTATTTAAGTTGTGGCAGGAGACAATTGTTACTAAACTGATTTACAAAGACTGTCAATCAGTCCCTAATTATTCGCAAAGAAATACAACAGTAGCCCACAGAAAGAATACACTTTTCATTTCAACATGACTGTGTCCAGCCCCCATGGTTCACACTGCAGATGGGCTGTCCGTCCAGTCGTTGCAGCTGCAAACACCACAGCCGAGGCTCAGGCTGACACATCGCAGTGTATTACTGCTGGATCGTGGTTTTGTCTGGCAGTCCCACACACACTTGGCTCCTGCCGTGGAAACAAAACACAAATCCCCAGGCAACGGGCTGTCATCTGTCACTAAAATGTAAATACGACCATATTAAAGCACTTCTACTTGTTAACCATACCAAACTCCTAAGAGTCCTCCACCAGCTGCTTCGGTTATTAATCACTTCCTGTATTAGTACAAAGACTTCTGGGAAATGGAGGGATCTTAGGGTAAATTGCCTCACACAGGTATTTTCTATTTTGGAGCTCAGTATAATCAAAAGCAGCAATAACGAGTCATCATTGCATCACTCCTCAACATTGTTATGTTGAGTGGTTCAAGTACAGCCACAGCCTGCTGTTAGTAATGGGTGGAGCGAGCCAGTCCGCCTCCTTGATTATGACAGGGTGTGTTTAGTCTCCTCGACCCGAGGATCACTTTAGACATAGACCGGGGGAGTTATTGGCAAGTTCATCCTATGACTGAGACTGAATCAATGTCATGTTTGTAATTATGATGGCTAGATATTAATGGCTAACATACTATATTAATATTTTTTCTTTGGGGGGGTTTGGGAAGCAGTAAAAATAATGGGAACATACTGTAGATTACATTCTCAGTCACACATAATCCCATACACAGACACCCACACAAACACTCTCATTTGTGTCTGGTGTTTGGGGAGAAGCTGTGAAAACGACAGCTGTGGTGTGATGGAGAACGTCACGCTGGTTCGACTTTCTCCAGGCTCTGGTTCAGAGCCAAATCTGCTCACAGGCTGCACCACCGGAGCTCTACAGGATTGACTGACACAGATGGAAACCAGCTCCTAATATGCCTTATTTCCGGCCTAACAACTGATATTCAGAGTACAGAACATCAGCTATCTTTTTGCCTACATTTTCATTTTCTCTTTCTGTTTCTGGCTGCATTATTGAATCCTAAAGGGGCTCATGAAGAAATACATTACCAGTTCCCCCGCAATGTAATGCCCGTATTGTATTTCAAACGGCCAAAACAGGAGTTTCTGGCATTTGGCCGATGAGTATCCCAGGTTTCCGGTGTTCCTAATGTCAGCCTGTAGAAGAGAAGGTTTAGGCTTCCATTAATGTAGCAATCTATTAATCTTAAGTAACAACTGATTGCTGGGGGAGTTTGCTCTTCCCCTGATTTCCTGGTTCAGTCTTCCTCATGGGATATATTAGAAACACAGCACAAAGCAGGACCCAAGG